GGTCCTGTGCATCGTCATCAGGGCATTGTACGGGCTCAAGTCTCTCTGGTGCCATGTGGTGGCAGACGCTTGCAGACACCCTCATCCAGATGGGCTTCAACCTTCCAGAGCTGATAGCACATTTGGATGAGGAACAAATGAACCACTATGAGTATGTTGGGGTCATTGTTGATGATGTTCTGGTGTTCTCAAGGCCCCTCACCAAGTGATTGAACCCCTCAAGGACATTACCACTTTGAGATGAAAGAGTAGGCACCCCTGAGTACTACAGTGGAGAGACTTGACCTTCAACCCTGAGACAGGTCTCTTGGAGTTCTCTGCCAAGACCTACATTTAGAACTTGATCCCCAAGCTTGAAGCACTCTACAAGTCACATTGAAAAACTATGATCCCCCATGGAACCAGAAGATCACCCGAGTTGGATGAGTCCCCTACTTGGACAGCACCAGAGTTACCAGTACCAGATGTTAGTTGGTTGTGGTAGTGGGCAGTTACACTGGGGAAAATTGACATCCAGTACACTCAATACCATGGCTAGGTATGGTAGGGAGCCCAGGGAGGGTCATGAGGCCCGTTTGCTGAGGATGTATGGGTACCTCAAGTTCAGGCCCAAGCTTAGGCTTTGCTGCCAACCCTTCCCCAGCCGTCCTAGGGGATTTCCAGTTCTCTGAAGACAATTATTGGACCGGATTGTACCCTGACTCCATGGAGCCCATTGACCAGATGCCCCTGAGCCCCTTGTCCCTGAGATACCCAATTCATCATGGTGGATGCTAGCCATGCATCAAACAAGATTGACATGTCCAGTGTGGCCTCCTACATTGCTTTCTTTGGACAAATGCCCACCAAGTCCTACTCCAAGAGGTTGGCCACCATTGAGTGCTCCACCTATGGGGCTGAGTTGGTCACAGCAAGGATTGGAGTTGAGGCTGCCCTTGCCATGAGGTACAAGGCCAGAATGTTGGGAGTTGAAGTGAAGAACCCAACCTCCATCTTGGTTGACAACATGTCAGTTGTCAACAACCTACAGTGCCGTCCTCCTCCCTCAAGAAGAAGCACCATGCCTGCGCCTACCACAAGTGCAGGGAAGCTGTTGCCATAGGTGTTGCCAAGGTTGGGAAGATCGCATCAGGATGGAACCTCGCGGATATGGGGACCAAGCCTCTTGGACCCCACAAGATGTACCGGCTCTGCAAGCAGGTACTTTACGGGCGATTTGATGATTGAAGAGCCCACCTTACCCCTGTATGTTTGTCTCTGTGTTTGTGCCACCAACCCAAGGGAGTGACAGGAGTTGGATTGGACCCACATGATGTGAAAACATTACTGCTGGCTTCCCACTGTGTCTGTCTTTGGTGTGTTTACACAGTAGTGCTGGTTTCTCAGCTTGTCTGTCCCTGGAACAAGTGTGCTGCCTGGAAGTGTTTCACTCTGGGATATTGTATGGTTGGCCTGTGCTCTAAGTCTTTAGGCATGACTCATAAGTATCTTTGGGCATGACTCATAAGTATCTTTGGGCAAGACTCCTAGATGATGGAAGATACTATGAGGTCTTGGGACAAGCATGATTACTATATGTTTGATGACATTATGAAGTCCTGGACTATGAACGTCCCTATGTATCAATGTTTGGTGGTCAGGTGAGGTCCTGGATGAAGGTTTATATGCACAGAAGTGGCTGGAAGTCTCGTTTACGGTCTGTAGGAAGTCCCATTTCGCGGCCCTTCGAAATGTGCCACTGTATTTGACTTTAGGAGCCATGTGTGCTCACAATTCTTAGTTTAGCATAACAAATAAGTGTACCTGTTGACCAGGACAAAGGATTGTACCTATTGCACCTGATAGCACCTGCTATTCGCACCCAAACTACCTTGAAACCCGTCTTGAGTTGACCTCAAGACTTTGCCACAGCAGCTCAGTTTTGTCGACTGAGTTGTCCATCAATGCTGGAGCTATCTCCATGCAGAATGCATGAAGCTTGGAGAAGGATGGTGCGGTTCGGACCAGAGCAATGTTGTTGCTTGACGCCAACGGGATGACTCTCTTGAACTGTCTCTGATTCCAGAACAGCTCTACGGCGTCCTCGTACGTGGCGCACCAGGTGCCTCTCTTCATCGGTGAGTTGTCGTTTGCCACTCTCGCCCAATGCTGCGGTGAAAAAAGCCTGTATGGGGTTGATGGGTTGTAGTACGTGTGTGGGATCAAGAACTGGTGGATCCTTCCGTTGTCGTCCTCGATTGACCAGCGCACTGTTCCTCTGTACGTTGCAGTCACTGATCCCCCAATTCCTTGCACTTTCACGTTTACTTTCACAGGCTTTCCAATGAAGTCCTTCATTGAGTTGGTGATGCATCTTGATGAGCAGTTGTCGATGGCTATCAGTACTGAATCTGCGTCGTACTGATGGTCCTCTGAGTTGCGATTCATATCTCCTGACAGGGAGTAGAGGATCAGCTGCCAGGCCACTATTGGATTGCTTTCATTTGCCATCAAATCGAGGCCCCCTTTCAGAACCAAGAGGAACCTGATGAACAGCTCAAACTTGGTTGGCTCGTGATTCTCTTCCGTGACCTTCAGGTCCCACAACATGGTTGGCTGACACGCCCTCTTGTACTTGTCGCACAAGCTGGCAAACGGTTCTTCTGTTTCGTCGTCTTGATCCAAGAATGGCTCATCCTCCTCTGAGCGCTCTTGGTGTTTCATCGGTATTCCAGCTGACTCCTTGATCGATAGGTGAGTCAGCTGTATCATCAGCAGGACAGCTCCCACTGCTCTCAGTGATACTCGAGAGATTGCGCCCACGGACGACTTGGTTGCTCGCGATAGGAACGACGGGCCATACCTCAATCTCTTTGGTACGTACTGAGGTGGCTCATCCAAGTGCAGTCCCCACAAAAACATGGAGCTCATCGTTGCGCCGAATATGCACAGTGCTGCTCCGAACTCGGTGCCTGCAGCTGTGTAGTAGCATGTTGCGTCGATTGCGCTTGCTGCCGCCATTGCGACAATGCTCATCAACAGATGGGCTGGTTCTCCAAACAATAGTAGGAACAGGGGAAATGACATGGGATTCTGGCAGAATTCGGCGCACCAAGTGACGACTTCGCTCGTGTTGATGACTGCCAATACGATCATCATCTGGGACATCTGGGCTTGTTCTGCCGCGTCATCAAGAAATCCTTCCAGGACGAACCATCCGTGGATAAAATTCTTCTTCCACTGATGCGTCATGACTAGGATGTGGACTATATGCATGGCTAAGAGTAGAGGCTGAAGAGCAACGGTAACAAAAAGTTGATCACTAAAGTGATTACAGAAAGCTACGAATTGGCCAAACAGGTATCCTCCACTCCGCCACCATCAAAGCTCTTCATCATCCACAACAGGGATCAGGGTGTCTGTTCCTGCATCCTCGATGGCATTGGCAAGTGCAGCAGCTTCTGCGCCCTGGTCTTGTCCTTCTGTTGCTTTGTTGGACGTCAATGCCTCCTTCATCTTCTCACACCCTGTACGGTGCACCACTCCCTTGTTGTTCACCTCCAGGACCCACTTGGTTGTCTGGTGGTAAGGGCAGTAGATGTACTTCTTTCCATTGACGGTCTTCTGCTGTGGCTCCCCTTCCTTGGGAGACACCAGCTTCCAAGCGAACTTGTCATCGTCCTTTCCTTTCTTTCCATCACTGGCTGTCTTGTTGGTGGTCGAGGCCGGCTTTGCAGCTGGTTTTCCTCGAAGCTTGGTCACCTCTGCTTTGAGGGTCATGATTTCCATCTGCTCCTCGGACTTCCTGAGCCAAATCTTCCTATCCACCATGATCTTGTACTTTTCAAGCGCTATGATCATGAGGCTGTCGTGGCTGTTCAAGACCAATGTTCTTTCCTCATAAGAATCTCTCTTTGTTTCCATGTACTTGGCGAAAGCTGTGTCTGAGCAGTTCGCATACCCATCAAACAGGTTAGCAGTCATCGGAGGGACGTGAGCGCTCCTGGCCTGCAACTGCGTGATCAAGTCGTCGACCATGGTGTTGAAGACCTCGATGTTGGACTTGGCTGCTTCCATGATGTGCTCGAGGTTGTTGAGCTTCTTGGTGATGATGGTGATCGTCGTCATTGTTTCCACCGACACCATCCTGATTAGCTGGTACAGCATGCACATTCCATCTTCCTTCATGATCGGCGCTGGGGCAGGGACGTTGATTTGCGCAGCTGCTGCTGCGTTGACCGTGTAGTCGGCCTTGCGAGTGGCTAGCCTGTCTGCCATCTTGGATGTGATCGAGGCCATGATCAGCTTGCGGAGGCAAACTGATGCTTGGTGGTTCCTCTCTTGTTGCCTAAGGTACGTCACGGCATGGTTCTGGACATTGTCCTTTGTCAAGCATCCGTGCTGCGTCGTGATGTTCCTTACTGCGCCATCGTTGTCTGCAACCAGTAGGATTGCCACCCAACCAAATGACTCAGCCCTTTGCCAGATCTGACGCAAGAAGTCACGTAGGTACTGTTCTTTGCCGTCATACTTGACTGGGAATGGTGTAATCGACGCCATGAAGATCCTGAGTCCGGTTGGCGACGTGAAATCCCACGGCTGGTTGCCTGTTCCGGCTGGTGTAACCGCGAACACCACCGCTGGTACTACTGGTTGTTGCGGACGAATTGCATCCAGAACATTCTGGTTCTGAAGTGCTGCTGCGACTGCAGCCTCCACCACGGCTTGAATCTGAGCTGCGTCCATGGTTGGTACCCTTGGTTCTTGTTGCCTTTCTCTTCTTCTCTGCAGTCGATCTCTCGTTCTTTGCAGTTGTCTGGTGAGTTCTTGTACCTGTTCCGCTCGTCTTGCAGCTCTGGTCTCTCTATTGAGAGGAGGTTGGTCTTGGTCGTCGGAACTGGAGTCTGAAATCTTGTATTTTCTCTTTCAATGTGTTGAAAGCAATTGTAAGCTCTCTAAGATCTACAGATCAGGGAGCTTGGTGGTCGACAGACCTGAGCTAACGAGGTGCTCTTTGAATGCACAATGTGTTGTGAGTATCAATAGAGCTGCTCGAAGCATGTAGCATAATGCGCAGAGGAAGCGTGAGGGTTTGAGTGCTATATTGTGAGCTTGAAGTTACTCTATCCTATTGGAATTCTCAACTGTTGTTGCTTCATATTTCAAACGCCATCAGTTGAGGCAGCACCACTGCTGTCAGATTTGGAAGCATGCTGACCTTCCAGATTGCTGAGGATTGGCAAAGTCTTGAGGTCAACTCAAGACGGGTTTCAAGGTAGTTTGGGTGCGAATAGCAGGTGCTATCAGGTGCAATAGGTACAATCCTTTGTCCTGGTCAACAGGTACACTTGTTTGTTATGCTAAACTAAGAATTGTGAGCACACATGGCTCCTAAAGTCAAATACAGTGGCACATTTCGAAGGGCCGCGAAATGGGACTTCCTACAGACCGTAAACGGGACTTCCAGCCACTTCTGTGCATATAAACCTTCATCCAGGACCTCACCTGACTACCAAACATTGATACATAGGGACATTCATAGTCCAGGACTTCATAATGTCATCAAACATATAGTAATCCTGCTTGTCCCAAGACCTCATAGTATCTTCCATCATCTAGGAGTCTTGCCCAAAGATACTTATGAGTCATGCCCAAAGATACTTATGAGTCATGCCTAAAGACTTAGAGCACAGGCCAACCATACAATATCCCAGAGTGAAACACTTCCAGGCAGCACACTTGTTCCAGGGACAGACAAGCTGAGAAACCAGCACTACTGTGTAAACACACCAAAGACAGACACAGTGGGAAGCCAGCAGTAATGTTTTCACATCATGTGGCTCCAATCCAACTCCTGTCACTCCCCTTGGGTTGGTGGCACAAACACAGAGACAAACATACAGGGGTAAGGTGGGCTCTTCAATCATCAAATCGCCCGTAAAGTACCTGCTTGCAGAGCCGGTACATCTTGTGGGGTCCAAGAGGCTTGGTCCCCATATCCGCGAGGTTCCATCCTGATGCGATCTTCCCAACCCTGGCAACACCTATGGCAACAGCTTCCCTGCACTTGTGGTAGGCGCAGGCATGGTGCTTCTTCTTGAGGGAGGAGGACGGCACTGTAGGTTGTTGACAACTGACATGTTGTCAACCAAGATGGAGGTTGGGTTCTTCACTTCAACTCCCAACATTCTGGCCTTGTACCTCATGGCAAGGGCAGCCTCAACTCCAATCCTTGCTGTGACCAACTCAGCCCCATAGGTGGAGCACTCAATGGTGGCCAACCTCTTGGAGTAGGACTTGGTGGGCATTTGTCCAAAGAAAGCAATGTAGGAGGCCACACTGGACATGTCAATCTTGTTTGATGCATGGCTAGCATCCACCATGATGACTTGGGTGATCTCAGGGACAAGGGGCTCAGGGGCATCTGGGTCAATGGGCTCCATGGAGTCAGGGTACAATCCGGTCCAATCATTGTCTTCAGAGAACTGGAAATCCCCTAGGACGGCTGGGGAAGGGTTGGCAGCAAGCCTAAGCTTGGGCCTGAACTTGAGGTACCCATACATCCTCAGCAAACGGGCCTCATGACCCTCCCTGGGCTCCCTACCATACGAGATTAAATAGAGTTTCGAGCGGGCAGTAGAGCAGTACCAGGATTCTACGTCGGAAAATGGGTCGATCGCTTGAAACTCAATCAAGCCTTTTCGAGCGACCCGAAACGAGATATTTCAAAACCGGTGTGATACCAAAAATAATGCTTCCACTCTTGGGTGACTACTTGGCGACTACAAAGTATGGTAGACCATACGTCATTATTACATCGCTCGCTGTTGAGACACTTCGTCATGGTCGAAAGAGTTTCGAAGATTGTTGATCAGCAGCACTCGTTTGTCAACAGAGAGCAGAGCAGCATGGTTGATGACAGCGTTTGCCGATTGATCTGCGGCGATGGCAACTTGGGTGTCTTCCAATGGGATTTCCTGCGTCTTCAATCGTTGGAGTTCAGCTTCCTCCTCTGCCGACCATCCGTCGAGTTTTCGCGGAGCTGGTGCTGCTAGATAAGCCAAGAGGACCTCTGCTTTCTTTCCTTTGGGAGCACTTCCTTTTTTGTATTTATAGAGGATCCCCATTTCCTTTGCGTTGAACGCACTGATCGTCGCTGCCGTAGGCTCACCCTTTTCTTGGATAATAGCATCGCGTTGCTCTTTGAGTGCCATTTTCGCAAGTTCAATCTTCTTTTTCTTCTCGAGTTTGTCGACCTGCTCGGTGCGCTCTCGCATGGCATTGCCTCGAAAGAAATCATCAGACGTAAGGTGTTGACCGTGTGTCTGATGATACAACTGACCAGCAGTTCCAAGATTCTTTGCAATGGCTGCTTGCCGTTCGACCGTGTTGGGTTTGGTGATCTCTGTGTAGCGTTCTGCTTTGCGTCTTGTAAGCGTCAAGAGCAACCGATCTCCATCAAAACCAAACATGTTCAGCGAAGCGCAGTGCATCTTGTTGGACGCTTCAATCTGTAGCAGATAGTCGGCCATAGGATCCAAGTCCGTGTTCACCGTTCCATCCCGATTCATTACAACTTCGTGACGCACTTTGTTGCTGTTCAACGCGGCTCTAGTCAAAGGAACACAACCACACTTTGCCCAAGCGGACTTGTTGGATGCAATGTTGAATGCTTTCTGAAAAGCATTTTCAAGGACGGCCCCACTCTCCGGATCTGTTCCACCAAACACAAGCAGCGGCAAGTCGTTAGTAGTCATAGACGCTTTGGCCTCGAAGCGAGCTTGAGATAAGATCCGTAGATTGCCTCTGTAGGCCGTTTTGAAAGGGCCATAGTTTTGATCTGTTTCTTGAGTAACAGCTGTAGAGTTAGGAACACCTGGAAAGATGTAGCAGCCCTTCACTCGAAGCTTGCCTAGCATATCAAGATTGAGACGACCCGGTCCACTGTCAACCTTGATGGCAACTCGCTTTCCTGGAACGTCTTGTATGTCAGGGTAGAGACGTAAGATGTTGCACTCGAAGTACTTGTCTAGTTCAACAGCATTCATTCCTGCATTTTCATTCATCCCAAGAGTGATGGGCATATCTGTCACTTGCTCATAGCCGAACTGACATCTAATGTCGTGCACATGCATGAAGAAACTGACGCTGACTTTCTCTCGCGAGGAATCAGTGGCCATAGTCTTCAATTGGAAGTGCGGCGGTACAGGTTCTCCGGCAGCGTTGGATCCACAAATGATGGTGGGAGAATAAGCAGTTTTATGGGCTTGGGTGCCGCCTCCAGGCACGTCAGGAGCATAGAACACCATTGGTTTGCGCCCACCACGTTGTCCATTGGTATTATCCATAGACCCATCCGTCTCATCAAAATTGAGAATGCGCCGGAGTTGTCCTGGACGGAAGACAAGTTCTCCCTCCACATCATCGTCTTCGGTTGGTTCACGGGCAAAGCCTAAATGAAGAAGACTCTGTTTCCATTGGTCGTACCAGGCATTGAGGTTAGTATGACTTGTCCATTGGAGACGACGTTGCTCTTGGACGTTCTCTGATCCCACTTCAAAAGAATCGGCAGTGTATTTCTTGAGCTTTTGCACGAGGTTGATACCTTTTAGGTTCATTCCCAATTTATTGACACAGGCGTTGACTTTCAATGCCATATCAGTCAAAGTAGATTGTGATTGGGTGTTGGCTTGTTCTATCTTCACATAGGTGAGATAAGCACCACAGAGAGCAGCAAAGACCGGCACAGGAAACTTTCCTGCTGGACCTCGGTTCATGGGAGCCTCTCCAATGCGCTTTTCTCTCACCATTGTGTTGATTGTTTGGGCAGAAAGAGTAGATCCCATGCTAGTGTTCACATCACGAACAATAGCAGCTTGAGACATCTTGTCTGGATGCCCTTTGGGTAGGTCGTTGTTGCGTGCAATTAGAGTGGTTGCCATTTTGGTGGCTTCAGCTGTCAATCTCTTCTTCCGAAGATCCGCAGCATCATCTTGCTGCTTGCGTTTGGAACTGCGACGTCGTGCTTTCTCTGGATTGGCTGTACCGGCAAGCGAAGGCATTATCTGACTGCCATTGCCATCATCTTGTTCCGTCATTGGCATGGGTGAAATATCAGATGCTACCGAGGCTACAGAACCTAACGAGTCTCTTCGCAACCCAGATACCCCGGTCGCTCCTGTCGCTCCTGTTCCTCTACTCGTGTTGCTAATATCAACAACAGAAGGAGGGGGTGTCTTGAATGTACCAGGCTTCCCTCCATGGGTGATGGCAACTTTCTCGGCACGACGCCGGATCTTCCGCTCCGCTATTCGGCCCATTCTCTCGACAGCAGTGAAGCCGGCAATATCCATCGCTTTCGACGCAGTTAAACGCCCTTCACTAGCGGCCAAAAGCTGCACCGCAATGCGCATCTTTTCCTCTAGGGATACCTCGGTCTTGTTGTTTGACATGTTGACTAGCTCCGACAATAATACGAGCGACTGTTTTTGTAATGCAGACGAGAAATCGTGGTGGGTCACGCCGTGACGGGTTTGGACCATCAAAATCCACGATTGACTACTACTAATAAAGGCCATCGCGACGGCTATAGAAGGCGGCTAACAACAATGTTATAGTATTATCCTAGTAACTCGAGTATGCTTGAGACGATGATGATGTTGTAATAGTGGTAGCGGCATGACATGGTCTTCGACTACCTTGTTACCTGACAGCAGGCGAGATTTCGAATGTGCGTGACCCAAATGGGTCGCTCATAACCCAATTTAATCCTGTACCTAGCCATGGTATTGACAGTGTACTGGATGTCAATTCTCCCCAGTGTAACTGCCCACTGACCACAACCAACTAACATCTGGTACTGGGTAACTCTGGTGCTGTCCAAGTAGGGGGACTCATCCAACTCGGGGTGATCTTCTGGTTCCATGGGGGATCCATAGTTTTTCAATGTGATCTTGTAGAGTGCTTCAAGCTTGGGGATCAAGTTCTCAATGTAGGTCTTGCAGAGAACTCCCAGAGACCTGTTCAGGGTTGAAGGTCAAGTCCTCCACTGTAGTACTCAGGGGTGCCTACTCCTTTCATCTCAAAGTGGTAGATGTCCTTGAGGGGTTCAATCACTTGGTGAGGGGCCTTGGAGAACACAGAACATCATCAACAATGACCCCAACATACTCATAGTGTTCACTTTGTTCCTCATCAAATGTTGCTATCAGCTCTGGAAGGGTTGAAGCCATCTGGATGAGGGTGTCTGCAAGCGTCTGCCACCACATGGCACCAGAGACCTTGACCCCGTACAATGCCCTGATGACGATGCACAGGACCCCAGCTAGTTCTCCCCATTCATCTCCAAGGGTAACACAGATCTTTTCAACTTTGAGGGACATCAGGTAGGATACCCAACATCCCCTGCAACCACCTCTAGCTTCATCAATGCAGCAATGACAAACACCATCCTGATGTTCTCGAGATCAACAACCCCAGAGTAGAGGTCATATGGGTGGTCCCAGTCATATGGCCACCTGCACACACCTGGCTCGGTGCATCACAGCTCCCATCAAACTTCACAGAGAAGCCCCAGAGCAACTTGATCTCCTGTACTCATCGGTCACCTCCCTGGTTTGGCTTTCTTGAACGGGGAACCTATTCTTGAGTGTGTCCACTCCAATTCAATGGCATCGGTCCACAAGAGTTGCCATTGATCTCATCCAGCTTGTAAGCCTCTGCCTTGGTCCTTTGAACCCTCACTCCAAACTCATATCTGACAGCACACCAGTCCTCTTCTTCATCAGCCTCCATTGCTTTTGATCCTGATGAACTTCTCCTGTTCTTCAGATACTTGTGGGCCCATTTCCACCTGGAATCATGGACAATGCCTTTGAGGCTGCATACTCTGCAAGGACTTTTGGGCTGTCCTTCCTGATCACTTCCATGGGTTCCCAGGTAGCCTCATCCTCAGGAAACCACTCCACTTGACCTTGACATCGATCTTTCCTTGTCTACCAGGTTGTTTGGACCATTTGTGGTCTAGGATCTTATCAAAATCCCAGTACTCTCATCAGCATCATCTGACCTGGTTAGCTTCACGATCTCTTCATACTCATAGATCTTCTGCTTCCCACCCTTCAATTCCACCCTTGCTTGGATGGTACCATCCTCATCATTGTAGACCTCTTTAATCTGACCTTTTACATCTTTTCTACCCTTTCTTATTTGGGGATGCAGTCCCAGATGAACAGATCCTGATGGTTTCCTTGGGTACCTCTGCTGGGGGAGCCTTGAACTTGGTTCCTCCCGGGTGTTTGGTGCTGGGGTCCTTCTCCCCAGTCTGGTGTACACAACAGGGCAGAAAGCTTCTTCGGTCCTGGCCCTATCTTCCTGTGGAGAACTGAGACTGCATCCCTAGTGGTATCTGAGATGTTCTCCCCTTAAATCTTCCTCACCGCATATCTGACAATGAGTTGCTCAGTTTCAAGGGTTAGGATCCAAGAACACATCCCATCACCATGGTCAGAGCCCTGCCCAACCATCTTCCAGCCTCTCATTCCACCAACTGCTTGTCCAGGGACTTGTGGGTAGGCTCATGGTACATACTACATCCAAGAACTTGAATTTGATGAGATTGGAGATGTCTGGGGTCTGCCCAGTAAGTTTTTCA